ACCATAGTTTGCACAGTCTTTTTTAATCTAGCATCAAGAACTTGTCCATTCACTTGATTGATATGAATGCAAACAATAAATTTTGCTCGAAACGTCACCAAGTAAGTTAAACTGTATCACTGTGTGCTACATCAAATAGACAATTCAGTGTGGCCTTATAGTCCGTTGTCTGACATGGAAGCTTCAGGCATGGCAATCAAGACACAGACGCTAGCGCTGATCGTCATTATACTCTGCCATTATTTGTGACTCAGATCATCATGAAAGTTCTGTGATAGGAGAAGGAATTGGTGTCCGTACGTGCAAAAATTAATAGTAAATTAGGAAAAGTTGAGAAGTTACAAGACATCATGGCTTTCTTAGAATTCCTGATGGACACCACAGTCTTATGGCCTTGGTCAGATGCACCGCAAACAGAATACTTGATGGTGCTGCTAACGAGGTTTAGAGAAGACCAATAGGTCAAGCAATGCTACTGAGCTGAATGTTACTTAGTTACAGGACGCTGATGGTGTAAACATACAGTTGCCTGCAATGTGTGTAGGGCATCATCTAAATGAATTTAGCTTGAAATAAGATATTTGAAATTCGACTGACCAAGTTTCTTCGCGTTTGATGCCGTTATGAATATCTTTCACCTCAAAAGCCTAATAAAGGGTAGTTACCGTAACTTCTTCTCGACAAAACACTTAAAAATACAGAACCATCTTCCTGTTGACATCAGAGCCTCCGGCTCAACTGTCCGGTTCAGTCGCACGTTAGAAAGATTCCTATCCCCCGGCAAACTCCCCAACATACAGGGCGAATTACAATTATGTCCCGCAACGCTCAGTATGATAGGCCCCTTAAGTGTATGAGGCGTCGTATCCTGACCAGTAAATCTACACGCTGTTCTCATTACATCCCACTGTCAGGTTTACAACAATTAGGACTACTTCGTCAATTAAGTTGTTCATCTATGCCTCTCAATTATTACCACCACTAACGGAGACATCCTCAGATGTAGCCCCTCAAAAATAGCATTTCCAAAGGGCGGTGAATAGCATATTTCTAATAAGGATATAAACACGAAACTCAAGACTATACACAGGCTAAAATTTGCTTGCAATTAACTTCCTTGTGCTTTTGTACCCCGCTCTCCGTTTTCTCCATCCTTATCGTAAATAGAATCTTGAAAACCTGCAATTGGATTGGAATTACGATATTTCACCAGTACTATTCTTGAATATCGCTGCATCCGTCATCAACCAACTCTTCTGCTATCCTGCAACCTGCGATGAGCACCATCATGGCATCACATGAGGTTACTCTCTTAAAGCCTTTTGACACTTTAATAAGTGTTTCATTGGCTGGCGCCATTTCGTCCACTGCAGCTGTAAACCGCACACAAAATGCAGAAAAGTACTTACGACTTTATCTACGGGTGCGGATTCTTTGACTTGACCTCGAAGCTCAAAGGAACTTGGTCAATATTTACCGAGCTATTAAGCACAACGCAGATCATGATGGCTACTGTGAACATATGTTCAATTTAGCATGAACAAACAAAAATAGATCATTTCATCGGGAGGGTGACATATTGCTGTCAGTATTATTTATTATTGTCTATACAGTGTATCTTGACGCTTCAATGAACCTGGAGATCCATGTCCTCTGAAAAGTTCATTGAATCTGCCGCGGTACTTTGCTCAATATGCATGATCCTTCAAATTAAAGCACCAGAGTAATTCAGCCAGCACTGACCTTTTTCGAGAAAGAATTCGCCGAGTTACCTCCTCTTCTTTTTGACTGGTTCTTTTACATATTCATTAGACATGACTTTCATTTCTCCCTGATAACCTAAAAACATAACAAAAACTCTGAATTTAGCTTAAAGTGCGCTATTTGTATGTGGCGTGAAGTTTGCTTTCTTTCAGGCTGGGAACTTCCAGTACCTGGAATGAAAAGATGATAAGAGATTTTATGTAAAAATATTACCGAGGATTCTCCATCACTAACTGTTATGATCGTATCTGTAGAAATATTATGCACCTGTAAATCCAGGAAAAAATTATTATTATTATGTTCGCTTTCTCGATGATTCCCAGGTCTTGGTAATTATAAATTTGTGGTTCGTAGAACGCCGTCCGTTTCTGCAGATTGTACTTTGCTGTTGTGAACGGTATGAGAATGTTCGACAATGAGCAGTTTCGGCACAAGTATGTCCTTCTGAGGATTTAGATTTATGTGTGACCAAGACGACTTTCATTTTTGACTGGTTTGCCTAAATCAAGAAAGAGACCGAGTAGCAGGCAGCATGCACTGCCATATGCTTTATAGGAATGTCAGCCGTACCAACAGTGGGCAGCTTATAGCCAGTTATGGCTGTAATCGAATCAGCGGCAGGTTTTATCCATCCAGCATTGGAAAGCCACTAAAAACCCCCCTTATGCACCAAGAACCCTGCAACTTTACTTTCGAAAATGAAGGAAAGAAAATTGTTTGACTTGGTATTGAAAGTATACACCAAATAGGGCTAGCCATTCCGAACAGTCAAAAAGTGATGACGATTCCACTTGAGCCTGATGACAATGCGAACCACTGCAGTTATCGTCAGTCACCCTATTTGGTCTCCTTACATGGTACTTATGTGTTCAGTTTGACCACATTTATGGCACCTGGCATTATGAAAACCAACAGTACCTCGGAAGCGGAATTCTCCACGCTAACAACGTAGTTTGGTACCGTTTTGCCGCTAGGTAGTTGGCACTTTGTTTGGGTCATTCACTCTGAGCATTCCGCTATGCTCAGATGAGTTCTGTATTTTATGGCGATTTAAAACTGCACTATGAACTATAGAGAGCATTTCACCTTACCGTGACTAGGATTCAGTCGGATCATCATAGCCAACATTATTTTGGGTGATACAAAGGTCTGTGGAATTTTAAGGCTACTAGAAGCGCCTGAACCATCTCCTCCTCAAGCTTTAGAATATGAGCACCGGTTGATAAGTCGGGTGAGTAAACGGCAGCCAAAATAATACTTTGACGTTTGTAACTCGAGAAGGAAATCTCAAACCATTGGTTAGGAGCTGTGTAAAGTCTATTCAACAGAGCTGGCTGACGCGTTACAAAATAAGCCGTTTGGAAATGACCCGTCAGGAGACTTCTACGTTTTTTGCGTGACAGAGATGGGATTCTCAGGAAGGGCGAGAGTTTTTGACATAGTTAACACCCATCGATCGATAGCAGTAATAAAGAGACCAGATATTTTCACACAACGCAGCCCCTTTGATGAATACCAGGCGTCAAAGCATTCAAAATAATTTTTGATTTCCCATAGAGAACCACCAATACGCGATTTACTCTGTATACCGAAATCCGACGAAGCGATGCAAAAATATATAATATAATTGCGTCGCTTTGGAAACGGCGAAATTATTAGGAACTGAACTATCTTACCAGTCAGACAGAAGCCAAAAGTCCGTATTCAACCGAATTCCCTGCATTGTTGTGAATACCACAAACGGAAACAAAGAACGATGAACATTTGTACAAAACAGCAACTTAAACCGTTGGTCACCTCATTAAATCCAGGAAGGTCATTTGGTCTCTGTGGGTTGCTTCCTATAATTCTGTTGGTTTGGCAATATTGCTGGAGCACCTTTGGCTGTATTATTCAGCATGTCATTGTTGCAGACATAGCTCTGGAGAATAGAAGGAGGCTTTAATAAGTCCCTTGTTTGAGGGAGTTAATCGATAGATAGTCACCCACTACCCACCTGCTTGTTCTTCTGGGACTGTTTAAGATAGTGAGAATAATACAATATTATCGTTAATTGTCACTTGGGTTCCTGGTGAAACATAGGGCTTCAGTAGCACGCCACCACTGTACTCAGTTCTCTGCTATCCCTTGAACTTGGCTACACAACTGCCCACAAGCCCTTATTTCTTCCTCACATTCATCTCCATGTCACTATCGGATGCCCAACTAGTTTCCCTTCTGGGTTCCACTCGGGAGACCGGCCCAGCACGTAATGTCCCCAAATGGTCTTCTCAATGTACGCCCGATCCATCTCCACTTTCTTCTGCATATTTGTTGGGTGATGGGTTCTTGGTTGGTTCGTTCTCAGAGTTCCTTATTACGAGATGGGACACTAACCCGCTTGGGAAAACATTAACCTGGTCACACATGACCAATACGGCTTCTAGAACAGTTGTTGTTTGACAGGTCTGCTTCTGAGGAGCGGCAAGTGGGGTTTATGCCAGCAGAGTTGAACGTGCATTAAGCTTGGTGCTTACTGGCTTTGGCAGGGTCTTTAGCAATGTTTCAGAGCTTACGATGTGTAGTCGCAAGTTTGACACTGATAGTGAGATCTATACAGAGATAATGGAATATTTACATAGCACGAGGCCTGGGACAAAAGTGAATCGAACACAGTCTGAGTTGAAACCCTTCACTGGTGTTTCTCCAAAGGATACTTTCTTTGAACCGTTACACTTTATTACGTTAATAATGTTTTTAGTGATTTAAAGATGTTAAAGACACTACCCTCAATTATGAAAGGACTTGCTGACAGCATCATGGTCAGACGAATAGCCAATATTTCGAAAAAGAAGTTAATAAATCAGAAGGGGTTCAAAGGGTTGCCTCCAGGCTTAGGGCATGTCATGCCCATTTTCTTCACGAAGAGAGACTAACGTTGCACAAGCTTCCTTTATTTTTTCGTAGAAAAGAAGTGGCCTATTCTTATCCTTTGAACAGTTGCTTTGTTACCAATTCATACAAGTTCTTAAATCCTTTCAGGATAGATCATTTTATATGATATCAAAGAGAAGATAAAAGGCTATAGTGCAATCATACTCCAGACAAGCAGCAGTTCTCACATAAAACGGCTAGTATATGGGATCCGTTACGAAAACGACTAGGAACAGCTGAGGCAGGATCTTCATAAAAGTATATATTGAAAGGATTCGCTAAAGCCAATGGGATGCTGGTCATCCTACGAAAGACTAGACAGCGGTGATTTCAACTCATGACCTTGAGTGGTTGTTTATCTACGCAAGTTGATATGCTACTGTATCCGTTTGTTGAAAACTGTGGGTTACTGCATTATTCAGTGCTTTTGCTCTGTAATCAGCTAGCAGTGTGTATTTTTGATTGTACAGTAACTCAGTGTACATTTTCGAACCCCAAGGATACATCTAACGCATATTTTTGACCTCTTTCCCAGCCGGCAAGCACTTTGTGTGCACTTTGATATTTTTGTGTAGTCCCCAAAATCAACTTCGGTAGCGGTTTGGAACTTTTAAGCAAATTTCCAACATAAATTATATTTCGAAATATTACAGTTGATTAGTACTTACAGATCTCATATACTGCGACTAAGCATCCATACATGCAAATTCTATTTACGTATGCCACTTACTGCCTGTCATAAGGCCTTATTTGTGAAACTTTGGGTGCACTGCGGACAGTTTGACAGGTTTGTGTTCAATGAAGACTATTCGGGTAATTCGGACGCAATTCGCTAATTTCGGAAACAAGGATGCATTGTCTACAGTAAACCCAAGGCTTTCCTCCTGTTTTTTGCCTAAATTCAGAGTGCGCCTAAAGAAAATGTCGATTGGGTTCGGAATCACAGCCAGCATTCACTTCGGGTGCATATCGGGCGACGCCCGATATCCCCCTAATGTTCCGAACCTTTTCTCCGTTATTGTTAAAGTCCCAGAGTGCACTCGAAGTTTTTCCCCGAAAGTGTCAAAAGACAGAAAGTCCGCCAGAAGTTTTTGTCTGATAATGTCAAAAGTCCCAAAGTACGCCTGAAGTTTAAAGACACGCTCACCGAAAGGCATGTACAAGACGTAAATGTGGAAGTAAATTTATACTTTAACAGCGACAGGTATATCATACTTTTCTCCTATTCATTGCATCTCATTGACACTCTCTGGCTAACTGTGTAGCCGAGTGCTCTCCGCGTATTTCGAGACGCAGATAGGGATAACCTCACCACCTTTTGTGGCTTGTGGTCGCTATGCTTAGTGATGGGTTACGTTCTTCAAATCCATTTGTGAGAGGTGCAGCAATATCAGCATGAGGTATCGGACTTGTTATTTTAACTGGAAATGAAGGATACTGAAGGAATTTTGGAACTTTATACACTCATACTGAAACACCAATAATGAACTAATTGAGTAAAGGGAAATAAACAGCAACACTTCTCGAGCGCAGGAAACGCAATTACTCAACAAAAAAATACCACCACTCACCAACGGTGTATAGTATTCTGAACAGGATTTCCGCTTGCAATCACCAATTTCGGTGTACTTAAACAGACGTGTAACAGTTTCGAGGCCACTACAAAACTTCGGGCACTATCCAGTTAGCCTGAAACTTTGTTAGTTTATTAAACGATCCCTAAACATCCGAAGTGTATGCAATGCGCCCAAAGTATCGGAAGTGCACCCGAAGGTTTGTAGTAACCCATATCCCAAGTTATGAGAAGGCATATTCCGTAATATTGTCATATGAATATTTGACGTTTATATGCTACATGTGTTATTGGTATAGAAGTCAATAAAATGTTAGCGGCCAAGTGAAATATTTGTGAAATCTAGGGGGAATACCCAAAAGTTCTCCTGAAGTAGCTTCGGGTTTCACCCGGAGCTAATTCAAAGTGCGCCCAAAGTAAATGCTGGTTGGGATGGTAAATGCGTTACCATAGACTTTAACTGACTTAGCACTTCCTCATCCACATCGAGAAGTCTAAGACTATTAGCTGCACGACATGTTACTTGAAAATGGGATAGAACCGTCTTGGATTGTGATGCTATCGCAAGGGAATTGGTGGCTAATGTGCCATCTCTAACGTATTTCCCAGCTTAGTGAATTTGTGCGTACACACACTTTTAGTACCTCGAGTTACTAAATTAAACGCTTTAGTTTTCTTACTGATCAGTAAGAAAACTGGAGTGACACGAAGGTGATCACTAAATCGGTACTGGGAAACCCTGAATTGCTACGGCAATTTTTATTTGAACTTATTAACACCAATATTATGATGGAAACCCTTAATCTATGACCTACTAAACCTGTTGTATGTACTTGGTAACTTCCCAATGTGGTGTTAAAGTCGGAGAGTCTTTCTGTTTTCGAAGTGATTATCCCAAAGCGAGCTAGTTATTCCTTACCTTTCAGCAGTCAGAAGCTTCAAAAATTCTGTGCTGCTACTAAAAAAAAGGAAGTTCGTTCCATTACATATTGCTTTCTTGACCGAATATTAATCGTTGATCCCCTTGAAAAGAAATGGTGTGATCTGAGTGGTTGCAGTTACGATTTTGTTGTGGAGTCGATATTTGATTGCCAAAGTCTAAAGTTATTTTCCTATCCCAAATTACTTCGACTTCAGGACCTAAGAAACGTGGTAAAAGTGACAAGAATAAATGTGATTATTGAAATAATTTTACTCACAGGTGTATTCATTCTTAAACGTTCATACAGGTAAACCGTTTGTTTTATATGAAGTGTATTTTTATCGAGGACCAGAGTGCAACCTCTTCGTCACTTAGATCAAATAAAGTTCTCAAATACTAAAGTGTCTACATAACTGGTAAAGCGTATGTTCGCAACGCATTAATAGCTGCAACTACATTCTCAGCTTTGAGTTTGCTTGCAGAGTTCCGCACATCACTACCCCTACTCTTTCAAATTAACTGCTTAAATTGTCACAGAATTACGAAGCCAATAAGTTACAAGACACAAGCGCTTGCCTGGATGACAGCTGCTACTTTGACGTGACGGTCGGGCTTGCGTATCACAATGACCCAACGAGCTATACTGGTGGAACGCCTGTCCCCTCCAGGTCCTACTACACCAGATAGCTCTGTTGGATAAGGGTAAGACGAAAAGTAATGACTGTTGCAGTGTAAATTCCTACACTGTAATCGGGATCTGAAGGCGAAGTCATACTGTTCATAGCTGGATGAGGTGTTTAATATTTTAATTATTATTCTCCTCATTTATGTACTCTCATGCCTACCTCTTTCTTGGTTGTATTGTGTTCGCTGAGCTGGGTTGTTTAATCATCAAGCTTTCATCGTCCTTCTAGACGATATCATCAGCACTAACTTCAGCATAAAGTTAGCTGTCAATATGTCTCCGTGAGTGATTTAGTAGCTTGCCTTGACGAAGTGGTCTGTGATTGGTTGTTTCCTTCTTTTGTTGTATCATTGACTGCATAGATTTTCTTGTTGGCTGTTCCTCTGCTTGACCTCTGACCTTCCTGTCGTTTATCATTTTTCTCATTGGTTGATGGACTGGGTCTATGTCTATACATCTGTTGATTACTGACCGACTGGCCTGAACGCCACGCTTCTAGGAATTCTCTGACATTTTTGTGTACCCTCTTCCCGTCCAAAATTTCCAGATTGTCCAAATTGAATTTATGTCCATAATTATCCACATGCATTGAAATGAGTGATGAAATGTCGTCACGTTTAAAGGTCAATTGGTGTTCATGTAGACGAAGGCGAAGAGGGCGACCAGTTTGTCCAATGTAGTGTTGACTACAGTTATTGCAGTTGATTTTGTAAATGATATTCGGTTTGTCTTCTTTGGTTGTCGCATCCTTTACTCTGGATAATAGTGTTTGCAGGGAATTTGTTGATTTATGAGCCACACCAATTTCAAGTGGTTTCAATAATCCTTTCGTAATTTCTGATATATTCTTTATGTATGGTAGGATGATGATGATGATGATGATGATCATCAATATCAACATAGGACCAGGCACTACTGTGTAACGGTCCGAGTTACCACAGCTCAGTACCGTAGATCAAGTAAAAAGGTAGTGAGGTGAAGGATGAAGATAAGTGAATGCAGTCAAAAGAAATATAAAGTGTGAGAAGAAAGAAAGGAATAATGAGAAAATGGTGAGACTACGTCGTTAAGATGAGGATACTGTGTGTATACATCTTCGCCACTGACATCGGTTTTGAGCCAAATCACCTAGAGTCTCCAACCACTGGTTCCTCTTCTCCTGCGGACCCCAACCACCTAGTCTGCATCGACCCACATGTCTCAAACCAACATTCAGAGACTTCATACATTGATGCCATGTTTTAGTCTTGCCACCTCGAGCCTTTTTCCAGCCTGGACCCACCTCAGCCAACATTGTGTGACGGGGCAATCGGTGACTAGGCATACGTAGTACGTGTCCCAACCATGTGAATCGATGAAGGTTCATAACCTCGTCAACTGATTTACCCCTACTCCCTAGAACTCTATACCTGACTTCTGCATTACTCATGTGGTGACACCACGGAATACGGCCTATGCTACGAAGGCAATGGTGGTCAAACACTTGAAGCCTTCTTATATCTTCCACTTTCAATGGCCATGTTTCACAGCCATATAGTAGAACAGATCGAACTGCTGTGTAGTGCATGCGACCCTTAGTAGGCTATCGTATATCACGGCGGCGCCACAGGTGGTGTATGTTGGCAAAAGCCGGCCGAGCTTTTTGTATTCGTGCAGAGATTTCATCGACCACTGAGCTAGCCACTAGGGCTAATCCTACTTCCCAGGTAAGTGAAGTGGTCGACACACTCAACCACTACGTCTGTGTAACCTGGTGACGAGAGGGAGACCTTTATAAGAATATCTATGATGAGATTGAATAAGAATGGAGACAGTGAGCACCGTTGACGGACAGCACTCGATGAGCATAGCCCCCTGGACATCTCACCATAGGCTCTAACACGCCCACAAATGTTCGAGTAGAGAGCCTTCAATAAAGTGATGTACTTACTCGGCACACACCTTTCAGTGAGAGACATTGCCATTGATCAACGGAGTCGAATGCCGCCTTCAGGTCGAGGAATACAGCTAATGTCGGGCGTCTGTAAGCGTGCCTATGTTCCAGGACCTGGTGCAGTGTGAATACTTGGTCGATACACCCGTGGCCGGGTCTAAAGCCTGCCTGGTTTAGGGTTAGGGTCTTGTTGTTCCCGAGCTGTACTCAGATGTTGGAGAATTATAGAACCTAGAATCTTGTACACTATGTTGGTCAGGCTGATTCTTCTGTGGTTATCACAAGAGGACTTTTCGCCTTTCTTGAAGACTGGGATGGTCAGTGATTTAGACCAGTTAGAGGGGATCGTATTTGACTCCCATACACTGGTTAACACTTCGGTTAACCTGATTAAGAGCATTCTACCAGCATCCTTGTAAACCTCTGGAGTTAATCCATCTGGTCCTGCCGCCCTTCCTTGTTTCGGATTGCCTACCGCTTTCTCGAATTCTGCTAGTGTTTGAGGGCCTATCTCAATGTTCCCTTTACGATCTGACTGAATAGCGGGCAATGCAATGGTGGCTGGAGGCCAGTTAAACTGTTCCTTGAAGTGTTCTGCCCATCGTTCCAGTCGTCTCCCCTAAGAGTGAATCGCAAATCCGTCCTTCTCCGCTATGGTCTCACTAACCGTTTTTGACCTTTTCCCAGTCTAAATAACTGTCTACTACTACCGATCACCGCTGCCTTTTCCATCTCTCTGGCCTTCGCTGCCCACCACTGTTGGCGATCGTTGCGTAGACTTTTCTCAATCTACTTTTAAGTTATGCCCATTCTTCATTGTACTCAGAGTCTGCAGGGATGCGTTCACATGCGTCCATTAGTTCGGAAGAAGCTGCTGATATCCACTGGCTCTTTTTAGCCACTATTTTGGAGTCGGCTACGGTCTTCAACGCTGCTTTTACAGCAGACTGGAGATGGAACCAAACTTCTTCTGGATGAGTGACAGTCTTTTGTTTCGATAACTGCCTAGCCAACTTCTCACTGAACACGGCTTTGGTGTTTTCGTTGTCCAGCAGCATTCGTAGTGGTCTTGTTGCCGAATTTATCTTACGTCCATTGAGACGCAGGCGTATACGCGCTCGGACCAGCGCGTGATCGCTGTCCAAATACGTGCTCGAGAAGGAGCGGCAGTCTTCCACCGATCCTCTCCAGCGATGACTAATAGCAATGTGGTCTATCTGTGTCCACCGCTGAGTTGAGCTCGGTGGACGCCACGTCAGACAGTGTCTTTCTTTATGTCTGAAATTGGTGCTAGCTAAAAATAGGCGGTTATCTGAGCATAGTTGTAATAGGCGATCACCGTTATCTGTATGTTCAGCTGGGATTCCGAAAGTGCCACCTAACTGCCTTTCTGTCTCACTCAGTCTACCCACCTGTGCATTGGAATCACCTGTAACAACCACGACGTCTGAACGTTTGACTTTCGAAAGGAGGGTAGACAGTTTTCGGTAGAACTCGTCCTTCACTTCATCCGAAGTACAGTCAGTGGGTGCGTAAGCAGAGATTACAAAGAGACAACGGTGAGTTTCACTATCCTTTTAGTTGTCACTGAATCGGATAGCGCAAGGCGACTATCAACTGGGATCCAGTCTAATAGTGAGTTTTCTGCCCTAGTGTTTAATGCTATGCCTACACCTGCAAGACCCCGAGAGGTAGGTATCGAATGTCCAGAAACTCGAAGGGTGAATTTTGAGAATTCACCAGATTGTCTGGTAGAGGTTAGGTGAATAACCGCACTTGTGTCCTGTACGCGTGTCTCACAAACACAGCACACATCCATGCACCAAGTTGCTAGTCTTGCTAACGGAGCCTGTTGACCAATTTGACGGAGGGTGCGGAGATTGAAGGCTCCAATATGTAATTTGAAGCGTGGTTTAAGGCGACCAGGGATGCTGTTCTGTGGACTCAGATCGTTGTTGAAGGCTGCAGAGGTAGGGGAAATTGAAGATGATGTAGTATGGTTAGTTGAGAGACGTGAAGAAAGATTAGAAGGTAATGATGGAGGAGGTGGATAGTAGTCTGAGGAAACTTGAGTGCTGATCGAGTTGTGAGGGTGATTGACACTTCCCGGGTGCCCACACCGTGGAAGTCTATTTCTTCTTAAGGTAAAAAAAAAAAACCTGTGTGACCGCAGAGGCCATCGGACATCTGCTTGAGGCCTGTCACACGTAGTCTTTTGTGTATGGTTGTTTTGAACTTTTGTATTTTTGTTTCTGGATGGTCGAAAAGAAACGATAAATGAACCAACACCGCCGGCCTGGCAGACCATGGGGCATGGTGGAGTGTGTTATTTCGGGGGCCGACCTTTTCTAACTCCGCCTTCCATTGAGAAGGTAGCATCAGCATGGGACTGCTGGTCATCCATGGGAAACACCTTGCTGCTGTCACACGTCATGTAGTTAGCAGAAGTACGACTTCGCCCTCAGACCCCCATCATAGTGTAGTAATTCACACCACCACGGTAACTGCTTTTTGTCTTACCGCTATCGAACAGACGTTTCTGGTATGGTAGGACCTCGAGGGAACAAGCGTTTCACCAGCATGTCTCGTTGGATCATTGTGATATGCGAGCCCGACCACCGTGTGAAGGTAGCAGCTGTCGGTCGGTCACAGTGGTACCCATTGCTGGTAATTCCCTATGATTTCTGCCGCCCTCTCAACATATAGTACGTATATCCAATGTGATCAGCAGCACCCACTACACTGTGAGTGGGTTAGTAAAGTCTTCCACCTAGTTAACGTTCCCTTCATTATCTTGAGTTTAAATAAAATGTATAGAAAGAACTGCATTGTTCACTACTTGTTAGTTGCTGTCCTTGCTTCGTTCAACCACCATATCTAGTTCGGAAATCCTTGCTACCACTGCGGATCATTTATAGTAGATTCAGGTGCATCTTAAAGTTCTTTTGACTTATGAAAATAGCTCGTATAATTTAGGATGCAAATAGTGCATTCATTTGTCCAGTTTCATTGGCTTATTTCTGTAACATGGCTGCTCTCGTGTCTATGAAAGGATTAGTAGTTGAAACGTCACATTTCACCGCAAGTAATAGGTTGAATACCTTTTTTGTGTAAAAGCTTCATAACGTCCAAATAAATAGGAAGAATGTGTCACTAAAGCTTCAGACTTGCCATTCAGTTGTAACGTCGATAAAGACACCATATTACTCTGTGAATTGCAGTTGAGTAGTGGTACAAAAGTGCACTGATAATCTATGACTTTTCAGACATAAACTATTCAGCAGTCAACTGGAATTTATTTTAGTTTGGTTCTAATTGTTAAGCCAGCCTTATAGTTTGTGTTTCCTTTTCATAGTAATCATGTTCGCCAAAATAGATTCAGATTGTTTTGCTTACATTTCTCTTTCTCGCTAGGTGGATTTTCACGTATCTTAGTCTGAAGTCAATACCATACCTTTAGACCCGTCAGTTTGTTTCTAGCCCTCGGAGACATTATATTGACTTTAAATGTTGGTTCGAATTCTGTGTTAATTTTTTTGATAGGTTATCATTTATTGGTACAGATTGGACATTATCTCTGTTGCATGTTGGTTCTTATCTAAATATCGACGATATATTGGCATCTAGTGAACGTATGTCATGTCGTGTTCGTGTGGCTTTGCCATCTCTAGCACCACTGCTACTCTCTGATGTGAAAGATAAAACATACGGCGAAAGCAGTAATGATATTTGTAGAGCATCAGATGAGGTACCAGCAGGGAAAAGAATTGAACTGCCGGTGTGGTTGGCTATTGCTATCGGTAGTGGCAGAAGACAGATACTGAACATTGAATTACCTCCTATTTATCGGGTATGATGCTCACCACTCATCTGAAATACTTAGGATGCCTTTACTGAAGTTTTTGAAGCAGATCCATGTGTTGTTGATCTTAAAAGGAAAGGATCTATGTATTATATTTTATTGTGCAACTTACTGACGTCGGGTCACGCTAAAATTTCACAAATTGTTGCCACCGGGACTAAAGTTTTTCAGGTGAGTTTTCCGCTTTTTTTAAGATGCTGATATGAATATTAATTTGGTGTTCTACTTTAAGTTTGTTCACTCAAAAGTTAGTGGTTTAGGTCACGCACCTTAATTACAACAATGTAATCATAAATGTGGAAATGTTTAGTATTGATGACGTGGTTGTTTATGTACAAATAAACTTATCAGTGATACATGCAAAATATTTCTTAAGCCACCGTGTTAAGGTGTCATGCAGACTCAGACCGGAAGGGTTACATTTCTGTACACGGCTCAAACCAACAGTCAGCAACTTCACGCACTCATGCAAAGTTTAGCTCCGGTTGCCTTTAATCTCTTCTATTTCACCGATCTAAAGGTTCCACAAAACACGACTGTGACAGGCGTATAGTAAAACAGGGCGAACTGCCCTACAGTGTATTCTACCTTAAATAGGAAGTCATATCTTATGGCAACATTATGGATGGCCGTAAGTTGACAAAAGTCAAGCGAGCCTTTTGTGTTCGGATCAGAATTTCGTCGGTCATTGACCCACCAAGACTAATCTGACTATCGAAATAAGTGAAGTCTTCAACGCGTCCAACCACTTCATCCCCTATCTTTAAACAAGGTACCAGTGAAGACTAGTCCTGGAGCAACAATTTGGATTCGGGTAGGGAGAAATGCATTCCAAACATCCTCAAATCCCCACTTAAGATGCTCAGAAGACTGCATCTTATCATTGTCTTCAGTCAACTGGCAAATTTCATCTGCATACTTAATGTCTATTAAGGAGTCTCCTGTGAAACGTTCAACTTCCGTAAAGACTGATGATAAGAGGAAAACCTCTTTAACTGTTTATGACAGAATTAAATTGAACGTGAGAACTCATACATTACTTTCCATATATGAAGTTAAAACAAGAAGAAAATGGTATCAGAATTAGTATGTATGTATTTCGTGGATTCTCCTCAGCTGCTTTACAACCTATGTAATATAGTGTTTATGATAAAAAGCAAGGTATGAGTCGATAAGAATGTTTTGATTGAGATGGAAGCTAAGAAAGATGTAGGCTGACCGAAATTGATGACTCTTGATAAAGTTGTTAGACTACTCGAAGGGTAACTGTCTATGCAATAACAGAATAAACTTTGTGTAGATGACCAAAATTGAGGAGAGTTCGCCTTCAATGATATTCAAAAATTGGTTAAAACTGCCATCAGGATTCAGTTAGATGAATGCAACTCACAAGGTAAGAGTAGCTTTTGAAATAGATTGGAAGATGAAATGAAGAGACAGAGTAATGAGATTATGAGATTCTGCAGTTACAAATTTAGCACAAAAGAATTACCAGGATGAAGTAAGATTTGAAGCAATATCTTTTATAATACATAGATCGGGTTTGAGTCTTTTAATCGTAAGTTTTTTTAGCAAAACACAAGAGGTTGGGTTTTAGTTGTTTATTGATGACTTTCAACGAGTTGGACACATTGACGTTATGTCTAGTATCAAGTAAATCGTGGGTTGTTGCGGTATTTGACTCCTGGGAAGGGATGAGAGGGAAACTCTGTGGTATATGTTCAGAAATGCGAACATAAAGCATTCCCTATGTTCTTCCAATGTCTGTGATTTGGCACGGTTATGTGAACTTGTAGATGCAGTTGAAGGTACTAAGAATTGAGAACTTGTCCACTTTGGCAGTTTGTTTGGTGCTCACTGACTATTTCGGTTATTAAGTTAGTGTTTCATCAATGTAGCATTCAGTCTGTGGTATATATCTTGTATGATTATTCTGAAATTTGTATTTTGTATTTTTGGGGCCGGATGGTCGAAAGGAAACGACAAGTGAACCAACACCGCCGGCCCGGTAGACCGTGGGGCGTGGTGGAGTGTGTTATTTTTGGGACGACCTTTTCCAACCCCCCCCCCCTTCCACTGAGAAGGCAGCATCAGCATGGCACTGCTGGTCATCCAAGGGAAACACCTTACTGCTGTCACACCCCATCCAGCTAGCAGCAGTACGACTTCGCTCTCAGACCCCCATCATAGTGTAGCAATTTACACTATACCGAATCTCACTATTTTGTCACTCCTCTTTCCTTTCTTCTCGTACTTTATATTTCTTTGACTGCATTCACTTATCTTCATCCTTCACCTCACTACCTTTTTACTTGATGTGCTGATATGAGGTGTGGCAACTCGGACCGTTACGCAGTAATGCCTGGTCCTATGTTGATAATGATGATGATGATGATATATCTTGTAGTACTTTGATCCCCTTTGTAGGGATAGTAGAAATATTGATTTCTCAACTGTTCTGCACTTTATTCTTTTCGTTTCTGTCCTGCCGTGCTCATAAATGAACTTTTCTGCGTAACCTTTTTCGCGCAGGGAGTGTTCAATAGTGGCCAGTTACTTGATTTTCTCCTCAGACCACGGTTCACGCGTATAGTAAAACTGAACAATATCTCTTGACCAGAAGAAGCCCGGGGTTATCTCCATTCTGCTATAAAAACAGCGGGGAAGACCGTGACTGACTGTTAAAGAGTAGTAAAGGGTCAGTGAATCTCACCAGCTTCTTCTAAACTTTTAGATCCACGTGAGCGCATCCCTGCTGGCTCCGAGCATAATGAGGAGCGCATGCAACTCAAGTATAAACTGAAAAAATGTCTTCGCAACGATCGCGAACAGTGGTGGGGAGCGAAGACTAAAGAGATGCAAAAGGCAGTGGGGTTAGGTAACAGTCAACAATTATTTATTCCAATTAAGGGAAGTGGAGAGAAAAGGTAAGTGGTTAGTGAGATTTTAGCGGAGAAGTACAGGCCTGTGGTTCACTCGCCGGTAAGACGACTGAAACGGTGGGTGGGACAGTTCAACTGACTTCCAGTTATTATTACGTTCCCCACTAATAAGTCGGATCCTGAACGAAACATCGAGATAGAGGTAGTTGTAGGTGACACGGAACAATGTGAAGCAGCTGGGCTACACGGTCTAGTATTGGGGTTATTTAAGGACGATGACAGAATCACTGATCAAGTTAATTGAAGTGTTAGCTATAGGAGTCAGAAATGATCCCATCTGATTGTTCGTAATCACTAGTTGTCCCAGACTTCAAGAAAGGTGAGAAACACTCTTGTGATAACCACAGGGGAATCAGCCCGTTAGTGTCTAGTGTTCCAGATTCTATAATTATCGAACGTCCAAGTAGAGCTCAGTAAAGAGTGAGTGCGACCAGATATTCATACTTCACCAGGTTCTGAAACACAGGAGCACTTACAACACCGACACGATCTGTATTTTTTTTTTTTACCTGAGGCCGGCATTCGATTCCATCGATTGAGAGGTCTTACTGTAGTGTCTCATTGAAAGGGGCTCCGATTAAGTACATATCTCTATAAAAGGTTCAGTACTCAAACACGCGTGGGCCTGTCAGAGCCTATGGTGAGTTGTGTACGTCGTGTTGTTCGTCAGCGATCCCCACTTACCCCATTCCTGTTCACTTTTGTTATAGACGTTCTTATGGAGGTCTCCCTCCTGCCATGTGATTTCACACGGATTGATCTTATCACAAGAGACTCCTTGGTAGGTCTAGAGTACGCAAATGACATAATCTGGTTGGGTGACGACTTTGACAAGACCCTGATTCTTCTGAACACCTTAAGTGGCAATTTAAGGATCTTTGGGATGCGTTTCTCGCCACCCAGGTGCAAGTTGTTGCTCTCGGACTGGTCTTCACTAAAACCTTGTCTAACAATAAAGAGTTAAGTGGTTGAGTGCATTGAACACTTCACTTACTTGGGAAGTCGAACCAGCTAAAGTGGATCAGTGAACGACGAAATCTCTGCACGGACGCAAAGACCTCGATTGTATCTCACCAACTGACGCCACTTATGTCGTTGCTATGATATCCGATTTGGGATCTCTCTCTTCCTACTGTGTGATGACTAATGGTGCTACCTCGCTCCCCAGACCTCTCTAGGTGGGGCGGAGTTCCAATCTACCACCCATTGATTGATAGCCGTCTCCCTAAATCACTGAGCCACAGCCCGTAGACTAAAACAGTCATTAACAGTGGAATATATGAAAAGGCTTCTGGTGTTTAACCACCGTTGCTTTATTACCATCGGTTGTGTGTGGTGGTTTCGCAGGGTGAGTAACGTAGAGGTCTGGGCGAAAGAGGAAAGTCATTTGATACGCTTTTGAACCTTCATCGTTGGAGTTTAGTGGGACATATGTTGCGCATGGCTAGTCATCGTCTATCCCGTTGTGCAATGCTAACTGAAGTAGGTTTTGTCGTTTCGGAAACTGATATGACTACTAACAATGCACAAATATCGACTGTCAGCCACCGACATTCAACAAATTCGTAGTTGATTCCCGACCCGAATAATTAATAGAGAAGACACAATGGAGGTTTAGAGACGTATATTGAAGTCGAAAGATCGAAGGAAAATATGTCTAATATACAGGTAGTTTACTGTATCGAAAAATACTATCGGCTGGCTGATCTGTCTGTCTAACTGTAGACGTGATAACATAAACTACAGTTTGATTGGTCCCTCTCCAAACTAGTCTTTTCTCTCTATCTTCATATCAGGTTCATGCAATAAAAGTCTGGAGCGACCAGACTGAAACATGGCGCCATTGTATGAAGTCTTTGATTGTTGGTCTGAGCCGTATAGGGGAATTTGAACTTCTCATTCGGAGTCCACGTGACAACAAAAGCAGCTGGTTAAAGGCTTTATTCAATATGGCTTAGAAACAAACTGGCTGGCGCTGCATATTATCCTCATCTTAATCGTCATTCTAAATTCAATATTTATTTGTTCACCCTTCCCATCTTTTACTACTTTCTACTACTTTTGACTTATTCTTCTCTATTTCTTTGTCTTTCCGTTTGATTTGTTGCTTGATGTTCTGATACGAGGAGTGACAACTTCAACCGCTATGCAGTAGTGCTTAGTCTTACGTTGATGGTTCTATTAACTAAGGTCTCCAAATTTCAAGTCCTCTTTAAGGAGCTGTGCAGA